AGTTCTTAACTTACAACCCCAATTGGGACTGGAACTTTTGTCGGTAAGTGATGAGGTTGTTGGGTGAGTCGTGCTTTAATACAATTTTTGACATGGTTGTTAGGCAAAACATGCTGCGCTGAAGCGAATCTGGCTTTCCCGCATAGACTTTGCTTATCCGAAGCCCCTGAGAAGATTGCAAATGGCAAACAGGTGACCTTGAGATTGCAAATACAGGCCGGTTTCCAAAGTGCTGGAATCACAATCCCACGACCATGAGGACATTGCAATGGTCATAAGTGTATCGACTGGTCATAAGTCGCTTATTAAATGCTGTTGTAACTTTGAGTGGTTGTTAAACAGATAGTTGTAAGTCAAGGACTACCTGCATAATGCAAAGGGAATGAAACAAATTGATCTCATAGCTTCGTTTGATTTGGAGGGGGCAGACACCAGTTAGGGAAGAAAAGAATTTTAACTTCTAGCAGAATTAGTATAATGTCTCACGAGAAAGTAAACAGTGTGTTTACATTACCTCTGTACATGCTAATGTGTCAAGCGACTGTTTTTATGTCCTGGTAGCTTGGAGTCATTCAACGAAAATCAAACTTGGTTGTTTGATGTATTATTCCAAGGTCCAGAGTTCAATATGTTGTCAGGATTTCAGGCATAGATAAGGATGGGTGCATGGTAAGAGTGTGAAATCACTGATTCTTTCATCTCCCTTAATGAGGAGCGTAACATTAAGCTGCTGTTATATCTAACCTGTATAACCACCATGCAGGAATACTTCGCTACGTTGACGCTAGACTGATTAGAGCTGAACCCAAAAAAATCCAGAGCATCAATTTTATTGTTTGTTATTCCTTTCTGGAAGACTTTCTTTAAAATTTAAAAAGCACCCTTTCAGTGTCCGATATTTCTGTCTCTCAACTGATATGACCCATATCGGAATATATTCTCAGTAACACTGACTTCTAGTCAGTTATGATTAACTAGGTATTGTAGTGAATTTAACCCTTTCATTACATAGTCTTTGATCAGTTAGGATCACCCACATTTTGAGTGGCAATTGGAGGGAACCATGGAGAGACACAGTAGCAACAAAAAATAATTTTAATGTGATAGATCAATGTTTCTCAACCTTGGCCACTTTAAGATGGGCGGACCCACTCCCAAGAATCCACTCATCTTAAAGTGGCCAAGATTGAGGAAATTCTGTGACAGATTTTCATATACAGCAGACTACACATTTTCAAGCTTTTATGCACAATTTGAAATTTTGCATTGTGTCCTTGCCACAAAAATTGTCATAGCAATGGGTGTAACCTACCACAAAGTATTGAGAACGCTCTCCTTTTGTTTGTAAGAAGGATTATTTTGTATTGAGTGGATATTTTCTCTTCATAGTGCCCTTCTCTGCTTCCAGGCATCCTTCTCCCTCCCTCCCTCCCTCCCTCTGTCTCTCTGTCTCTCTGTAACAGATAATAGATAATCAGAGTTGGAAGGGACCTTGTAGGTCATCTAGTCTAACCCCCCGCCCCAGGCAAGAGACCCTATACCATTTCTGACAAATGGCAGTCCAATCTCTTCTTGAAATCCTCAAGTGATGACGCTCCCACAACTTCCAAGGGCAAGCTGTTCCATTGGTAACGTGATGACCCATAGTCTCTCAAAATAACCCAAAGCCCAAAACATATATTAAATTCCGGTAAAGCCTTCAACTTAACTTCACTGTTTTATTAGGCACAGTTTAGAGTCACAAAAGTAAATAAGGAGGCAAACAGAAAACCAAAACAAACTGCATTGATGAGAGTTCTGAAGCAAGCCGAGATAACTAATTATAAACTCCAGGAAAATAACCGAGAAAAGTCCATGGGAAGAACGCCAGCAAAGATAAGCCTCTTTCAAGGTGAACACTAATTGACTTCAGCAATTCTAACTGTGCAGTTGGAAACTTATATACATAGCTCCCACCTGCAAGCCACGAGGAGGATCATGGTAATCTCCTCTTGAGTAGACCTCGCTTTTCCCTGATCCTCTCCTCCCTGCGTGACCTAGGATGGATAGGGGATGGGCCTGGATCCTCCTCTGACTGCTCAGCCAGCCTCTGCCCTTCCCCAGCCTCCTCCACCACCTCTGGAGCCAGACTCCCACTCCCTGTTGGCTGTTCCTCCTCTTCCTCAGAGTCAGACTCCACCAGGGGCATGACAGGTTGATTGTTTTCACTGTCAGAAAGTTTCTCCTTATTTCCAGGTTAAATCTCTCCTTGTTCAGTTTCCATCCATTATTCCTTGTCTGGCCTACAGGCGCTTTAGAAAATAGCTTGACCCCTTCCTCTCTGTGGCAGCCCCTCAAATATTGGAAGACTGCTATCATGTCTCCCCTGGTCCTTCTATTTACTAGACTAGCCAAGCCCAGTTCCTGTAACCGTTCTTCATATGTTTTAGTCTCCAGTCCCCTAATCATCCTGGTTGCTCTTCTCTACTTTTTCTAGAGTCTCAACATCTTTTTTATAATGTGGTGACCAAAACTGGATGCAGTACTCTAGGTGTGGTCTTACTGAGGCTTTATAGAGTGGTATTAGTACCTCCATTGATCTCTGTTAATGCAATTTAGGATTGCATTAGCTTTTTTGGCTGTTGCTGCACACTGCTGGCTCATACTATTTAGCTGGTTGTCCACTAAGACTGCAAGATCCCTCTCATAGTTACTGCTATTGAGCCTGGTTTCACCCAGTCTGTATATGTACTGTCTCTCTCTGTACCTGTGTCTCTGCTCTCTGTGTCTCTCTGTTTCTTTCTCTGTCTCTGTCTCTGTCTCTGTCTCTGTCTCTCTCTCTCTCTCTCTCTCTCTCACACACACACACACACACACACACAGAGAGAGAGCTTCCTCTCCTTCTCAGACTTCTCCACTGCACTATCATTCCCAAACTTGCCAGGTATATCTGAATCTTTCTTACCATTACTAGCTTCAAAGTTTTCAGCTGGATACAGGACACAGTGAAATTCTGACCTGTAGCCACCTACCATAGTTTTTCTTAAAATGTTGCTAGTCACGTATTTCAGGAAAAAATGAACTTGGTGCTGGTGTCCAAAGATTAGAATTCGACTTTGGAGTACTGTAACTCTAACAGCTGGATAAAAAAATCAAGTGGAAGTGTCTATACTGAACCTCTTCACATCATGTACCTGATCTCCACCTCTGACCCATGCTTAATCCATCAATATATGGGAGAAAACATTAAAAGAAGTAGTATAACTAGCAATACTAAAGAGCAACAAATTTAAAAACTTAAAAACCCATCAAAATAAACAGTAGTTGTTTAGCGCTTAAAAGTCTGTTGAAGTAAAAAGGATTGGGAGAAGCCCATTGTGGTCTTATGCAATTTTAATTCCTAACTTTCCTGAAAGTTTCTGCTTTTTCTACCTGCCTGCCTAATCTTCACACAACAACAACAGGACAGAAATCCATCCATTTTCTGGGATATTGTCATTTTCTCATCCATTTCAGTTTTTCCTTGTTTGACTGTTTTTGTTAAGTTACTCGGAGTGAGCAGTAAACCAATTCCATAGATATTTATCCTCCCAAAGCGAGATAATCACCCGTTTGTCTGCCCCTGGAAGAAAAGCTGCAGTTGCACAGCTGAGTAGCCATCCTCTCACAATAATGGGAAAACAGCAGTTTTTTGGCATCCACATACTAATGTGTACAATTTGCATCCTGCTTATTTATGCTAGCAGGTTTACAAGGTTGTGAATGAATGAGGTCTGTTGATGTCAGTGGTAATAATAGTGAAAGGGGAGGGGGTTTGGAAAAGATTAAAATAAATTGATTTATGCTGACAAAATCAGGGATGAACCTTACAGAATATCTGGCATGTGTCCTAAAAACCTATGTACTGATTTTTTATTTTTATTTTTGATAAAGTGAGCCCTTTGGAACATAATAGTACTGCTTGCTTTGGACCAAAACATTTTAAATAAAACATTTTGGAAATCAAAATATACAATTCCATCTCAAAAAAACTTTTGTTTATAAAAAGACTTTGTATGCGTTGGACTTTAAGCTCATTGACCTAAGCAGATGTTATATCCACATGTAGTTTCTCCCAGGTATGATCAGTAGCTATTACAAGGCTGTTCTGTTCTACTACAATGTGAAAATTGTTATTGACTAAAGATCTTTCCATCATCTTGGTTCCCATGATTCCAGACTAATGACTGTTACGTCTACTTGAGGGCTTCCTGAAAACATACATTCATTCTCCTGCTGTTCTTCCATAGCAATTGTTAACTTACAGACTTACGTACCTGAACATGGAGGCTTTAATTAATCATTCTGAAGAACTGTCAAACCTGTTGCTCACTGAATTTTTTAAATCACAATTTAAAGGCACTTTTAGATAGTAGCTATCTCAGTAACTTGTACATCACATTCTATCCATCAACATTCTGGTCTGTTTGGTATGGAGGAAAAACATAAGACTCCAAACTTGACAGGTTGTGATTGGGGTTACCATCTTCACCTGTCAAGCAACCCTGATAACATTAAACCCATGTTTAAAATCAGCTCACCTAATGCATAGTGCACTGAGGGAAAACTACCTGTCAGCTGTTAAGGCAGCTATTTTTAAACACAGGTTTAAAAAGATGCAGTCCTCTTCTGGAATAGCATTAAATCCATGGTTTAAAAATAGCCTTAGGACATCTCATGGATGGTGTGGTACAGCAGGAGTTTCAGCTGGTAAGCACATGGAGGAGGGTTTTTTTTAGTGTGATGACAGAAAGGCCTCTAATATACATCTCAATGAATGCCTCCCTCTCCCACCGAATCACAGAGCCCTCCAATGCCTATCTACTGGCATGGTGAGGTGTTGCAACAAAATCTTCCTGCTACTGGACCATGCAGACTCCCCACTCCCATCTCCATGTACCTGTCAGAATGATGACTTATTGAACTGTCCAGCTGTTGTGAGCCATTGCACTAATCTCTCTTACATGTTGCTTCTTCTGCAGGAGTTTTTTGAGAATCCTGCCTTTCGGCCAGATGGCATGAAGCTATATCCAACTCTTGTGATCCGTGGCACTGGCCTCTATGAACTCTGGAAAACTGGGAGGTACAAAAGTTATCCTCCAAGCACCCTTGTGGATTTGGTGGCAAGGATTCTTGCCCTCGTGCCTCCCTGGACTCGAGTGTACCGAGTACAAAGGTAACATTTGACTTTCCCATGCTAAGTTTTAATAAAATATGGTAGCGCAACAGTGAGATAACAAACAGCATTTTCTCATGCAGCATCTATTTCTGACCCTATTATGCTCTCAGAATAAATGTTTCTGGAAATCTAAATCCTTCCACCATCCTTCACTTCCTTGAAAGTAACTGGCAATGTTGTACTTCTCCTGCTCCGTCATTTAGGTTCTCATCACAAATATCAAGCCATTACATGTGATTCAGGATGAATCGACACACCAGGCTAATGTTATGATAATTGTGGCTTGTGCTTGATAGCTCATCTGTGCATAACTGCTAGGGTTCATCTCTGGTGAGTCACCATAGATTGTGGACACTTGCATCTTAGACAGATACTTTCAAATGAGCTTTGCAAATAGAAACCAAGCTGGGAAGGGGTAAGCAGTGATGATCTGTAGCTATTCAGTAAATGCGGATTGGCCCCTAGGCAATAAGGGATGAAGGGCACACACAACTGAAGAGCACATTCGGCAACAGAGAACAATGTTAGTATTAAACTACTATGTGGTGAAAGAATGGCATTTTCCTGGAGTAGCCAGGAAAAGGAGATGTTTGGTTTCTAGAGAAGGGCTGTCAAACTTGTGGCCTGTGGGCTGGATGTGTCATGCGCTGGCCATGCCTGGTTTAGCGAAGGGGGAAAAAAGTCACGATATGTCACATGACACCGCCATGACGCCATGAGTTTGACACCCCTGTTCTAGAGGAAGGATATTGCCAAATTGCAATTCACTGCAGCCCAACCAGTATGATCACTAATATAAGAGTAGAGGAATAGCAGCTTCAGAATATTCGGAGGGCCACACATGGTCAATTCTTACTCTACTATACATTCGAATGATTGCTATGCATATGGCAGCCAGTGACCCAGAAATGGCTGAACTATTTGCATAACTTGTTTTAGCCAGAAGAAGGAATGCATTGCTTTTCTTTTGTAAAAGAGATTGGCTGATAAACATTTCAGAATATTAATCCCATGTTTATCACCACTGATTTTTACTTAGTGAGGAAAGGTATCCCATTTGTAATTGTCAGCACAGAACGTTTCTGATAACAGTTGGTCTGCTTAAGGGTGGGAATTAATAAAAAGCAATGTAATTATCAAGTAATTTGTCTTTGCCTCTCAGTTGGTCGAAACCATTTTGGCCGCTTCAGTGTTGCCAGTTAGGGGACTACCAGGAATGTTTTCCCACCATTAAAGGACTCTAGACAATCAGAAGAATGCCCCATTGATGGTATTATGGAACATATTTCCTCAATCTGGTGCTTTCCGGTTGTGGTAGATTATACCTCCTAAGATGGCATTCGTAGTGATAGCTTGAAATTCATGGACAGGGAAGCCTCAGGTTGGCATTTTTCATAACAGCTGCCCTGCACCAGCTAAAATACCCAGCTTAATGTAGCGGTAGAAGGAGGGCTCTGCTCTTAATTGTTCATTTGTAATATTGCCATGCCCAGTAAGCCTTACCTATCAGCAAGTCTGACTTGATGTCTTGCCTTGTTAAAAAAAAATATTAGAAGAATCTTTGGGCAGGTAAACTTCAACAAATGAACCTGTGACATCCCAAGTTGTCTTCGCTGCTGGAAAATCTAGCGAGGACACCTTAAACCTCTGACATCAATGGATAGAGAGAATGGAGGTTTGTCTTTATACTCATAAAATTTGGCATATTTGCATATGTGTGTGTGTGCTGATCTTGAGTCATCTCCCTTCCTTACACAGAAGCAAAAATATGTTTCACAGCAGATGGCCACCCAGGGCCTTTGGGCACGCCAGTACACTGTGTCACTGTTCCAAAGATGATAGACTTGCTCAGTGGATACTGCTTATGTAGGCTACGTGCTAGGGTGCAAGAGTGGTTTTATTGTCATCCCTGTGGTGAATCGTGCAACAGCCTGGCTTTACGCAGTATTTTGGTAATTGGAAAGAAGCACGGCTCTCTGGCGGCTGCCTCTGTTCCAACGTGCCTAGATGGAAATTGCATTCTCCTCCAGTGTATCCTTTAGCTGGAGCAAGGAAGAGCTTATTAACTCTTAACTGTTACTGCCTGAAGACTGTTAATGTCTGTTGACTAGATGAGGTTGTATTTACTCCCAGGGCCCAGCTGAATAAATTAATGAGTGAGCTAATTATTACTGTGTTCTGGGGGAGAGGCTAGGCTAGGTGTTTGATGAAGAAGGGGGGGAGGATTTGAGGGAATTAAGCCCCAGTGTGCCAGCGGGTGGAGAATCTACTGTGATACTCTGCCTTATCCTATCACCATCAAACTTCTTTTGCTCCTTACATTCCTAACTTTTGTAGTCTCCAGAACTTTTTTCTTCATTTTCCTTGCAACAAGATAGCAGTTTTCAGCCAGACATATTGGAACTTTAACAGAAAGTTTCAGAAATGCTGCCTTTTGGGCTTTGCTTTCTCTTATACCTTACTCTCTTACATGTATGTCAGGTCTTCCCCCCCCCCCCCCCCCAAAAAAAAAAAAAACTTCTAAAACCCCTCTCTGTCTCAAGTCAATATCCTGGGCACCATAGTTCTCACCTCCAACCCAAAAAAGCCATGTAGATATAGCTTATGCCCAAGAGAATGTTTATGTCTCTAGTCCATGCTAATTTTCCTGGAAGGGTGGTTTAGATGAAGGAAGGGGTTTCTTATCTCCCACTCTTATATTTATTTATATTTTATATTTCTTAACCATCCATCCCCTCCCCCAATAGAATTATAATTATATTGCAGAAGTGTAATTCCCTTTACTCCCCCCCCCCCCATTAGAATAGCAATGAATTGGAACATATGACCCACAGTTAGATTTCACTGGGTGGCCTCTTCGTAATGGTTGTAGCATATTCATGTCTTCCTTTTCAGATTTCTCTTTCTGCTATGCCACTCATCGTCTACTTGATCAAAGCTTATATTTAGATTTCATCTCAACTTTTTATATTATTTATTATATCTTGCCTTTTCTCCAAAATCTTAAAAAATATTTTTCCGTCAGTTGATCCTTGTGAATTAAGTTGGCTTGAGAACAAATGATCTCTTTTGTAGGGCTGAGGAGTTGAACCTGGGGCTTGGTCCAAGTATAATACCTGAATTATTACACAGCGGTATTATCTGGATCTTTAGCACCTGACCAGTTGTTGTGACATTTTTTTGCCTCAAAATATGAAATAATCTTCAACTTTACTTATATGGGAGTTAAGCAAACTCTTGAACCTCAAGCTTGTAAATGATTGCTAATAAGTATGGGAGTGTGATATTTCTATGTCCGGAGGCAGTGCCTTTCTGAAATCTATCTCAGTGTTTCAACCTTGGTAACTGTAAGATGTGTGGATTTCAATTCCCAGGATTCTCTGGCCAAGTTTGCCAAAGTTGTGAAACACTAGTCTAGCTACAGAGACAAACAATGGGGTAGGATATTTCTAAGTTTTCTGGAAGCATTTATTTGGACATTTTGGGAACCAAACTTTGATTTAGTGAAGCTGTGTTCTAAATCAACCGCGCTATTCTTAACGTTCATAGTTCAATTATTGTTGCCAGAGTAAGTCAAAGCACAATGTATGTGGACAGGAAATAGATGGCAGCATAAGAAACAACAGTATCATTCTAGATATTAATGCTTCTCCAAAAGAACAAATGTGTCATATTTGGAATTCTCTCACATTTATCTGAATTATTTTAGCAACCTTTTTTGCTATGCTTGTCATTGTGGTCATTAAGCAAATCCAGCTCTGCTCATTGACTTTGCTTATGGGAGTCATGTGATCCTGGGATTCTGCAACCATTGTAAATACCTGCTAATTGTCTATCATCTGAATTCTGATCATGTGACCATAGGGAGACTGACAATCCTTAGTGTGAGGACCTGTCAAAAGTCACTTTTTTCAGGGCTATTGTAACTTTGAATAGTTATTACATGAATGGTCATAAGTCAAAGCAATGGCAAAGACAGAAAACTTTCAATCAGGTATCAAGAACAGCACCAGAACAATACAGGGATGAAGTCCTGCTAGGCCTGATTCAACCAAGTAGTAGTAAGCAAAGAACTGTTGTATTTTATATTTAAAGCATTGATGGCTATTTTTTTAAACTTATGTTTTTGTTTAATTGAGGGTCTGTTTCTTGCAGGGATATCCCAATGCCCTTAGTCACTTCTGGAGTGGAACATGGTAACTTGAGAGAACTGGCTTTGGCTAGGATGAAGGATTTAGGAACAGAGGTAAAACACATATTTTTATTTTTAAGTCTACCAGACTTGTATCTATTCTTACCTGTACCAAGTATGATTGCTTTGGTTTGCAAGATGTGCTCAAAGTCACCTGGTAGAGAGATGGGCAGCATACAAATCTATTAAATAAACATTTTCCTTTGAGTGCAGCCATAGAGATCCTTGAAGAAGGAATAGTTACAAATAGTGAAATCTTGTTTTTTCTGGAATAGTGAAATCTTGTTTTTTCTAGGCAGCCTGAAGCCCTTTGAAACATTTGCCTCATCACAGATTAGTTGCATTAAGATTGTAATTCTCATCATTATGATGATGGTTAAATACACTCCATCCTGTTGTGTTTTTTCCCCCAAATTTATGGAGGAGAGCTAGGCTTCTGATTTTGAGTTTTTCTACTTAAATGAATAATCCTTATTCGGATAAGGGTGTGTGTGAAGGGGACAGTATCAGGATTTCTCATGAGCACCCATAAAGAATAGTTCATCTTACATATGAAAAGGTCTGTTTAGAATCAGCCAAACACAGGACTGACCTAAATGTGGCAATTTCAACTGAGGGTAGCCACAACATTTTCAGCTTTGCGGATCGGGGGCGGGGGGAGAGAGAGGAAATAGTGTTGTGTGGGCACATACGCTTGAATGCACAACTCCGTTTGCACAAGCGGTGGGCACTCTCATGCCCGTGTGAAGCTCCATTTGTGAGCTCACACAAATGGAAGTTCACATGCACACAAGAGTGCTTGTCACTCGTACAAATGGAGCTGTGTGTACAAGCATGCATGCCTGCTGTTTGCATGGCCCAGTTCTAAACAGGCTACAGCCCAGTACCAAGCTGGGGCCCTGGAGTTGGGGACCCTTCATATAATTGATTTATAAAAAGCTATTCTGTGTTTGCAGGTATATTAAAACAAAACCAGTCCCATTTAAGGTTCTCCTAGTTACAATAGATGGCTTTTCTTTACAGCTTGAGTTATACAAAGATAATTATAATCTCTTAGGACTTGATTTGAGTGATTTGAGCCATCAATTATATTTATTCATGGAAAAAGGCTTTTAAAACTTTTTTTTCTATTAAGCAAAGCTCATTGTTTGCTTGTTCTCCCTTGGTCTATTTAATGTATTTATATAGGATAGAAATAAATAATCATTTGGACCAAAAGTACATTTGGAACATTGAGAGCATATGGTGGATGTATCCTCCAAGGATGACTATAATAGGAGAGTGCTACAGTGGACAAGGCCAGTCACATACAGACAAGTTGTCTGACATACAAGTGAGACATTTATGAAGCCCAAAGGCATTGTTTCAAATCAATTACGGTTACTGAAGCTGGTGCCTTGCCGCATGACAGGATCCTACTTATTTGTTTTTCTTTTTAAAATGTTGGGT